ATCACCAGTATTTTCTCTCTTAGGTGCTTGTCCAGTGGAAGCTGTGAGACCCAGCCACATCTTACAGGTCTAGAATAGAATGCACCAGTGACAGTGTTATCACTGAGCAGACTTCTTTCCTTCTTAAAATATCTCTCTGGAATTTAACAGGCAAGGGCTGAAATTGCAAGAATGTAGCTCTGGGCACCCAGCACTGAAAGGCTGGCTGTTTAGCAGGAAGCACATGGAGTTAGGAAGCCTGAGCACTGGTTCAGTGCACCCACTCTTCCATTTATAAACTCAAATAAGGTTCTGTACCTTGAACCAGCCATTGTGGCATCAGATAAAAGCAGTTTCTGAATTTTTGGGTTCTGTATGCATAGATGTAACCTTCAGTGATAGAAAATCTTTTTGAAAATTTCCTTCAGTATCAATGATCTATAAACTGTTTTCTTATTTTTTCCCAAACAATAAAATACTAAGTATTTACATAGCATTTACATTGTATTATGCATTATAAGTAATTTACAAAGGATTGGTGTGTACAGAAATATTGGATTTTTGTTTCATTTTGGGTTTTTTTTATTTGTTTTGCAACAGAGCTTCTTTGTAAAATAGTCTTGGCTGTCCTGGAACTTACTCTGTAGACCAGTCTGGCCTCTGTAGCTAGAGTTTTCCTGCCTGGCCCACAGTCAGGACAAATCTCTCTCACCTGCCAGTCCCACAGCCACTCAGACCCAACCAAGTAAAACACAGAGACTTATATTGGTTACAAACTGTATGGCCGTGGCAGGCTTCTTGATAACTGTTCTTATATCTTAAATTAATCCATTTCTATAAATCTATACCTTGCCACATGGCTCGTGGCTTACCAGCATCTTCACATGTTGTTTCTCATCGTGGCGGCTGGCAGTGTCTCTCTGACTCAGCCTTCCACTTCCCAGCTTTATTCTCCTCCTTGTCCCGCCTATACTTCCTGCCTGGCCACCGGCCAATCAGTGATTTATTTATTGACCAATCAGCAACACACTTGACATACAGACCATCCCACAGCAGGCCTCAAAACTCACAGAGATCTGCCTGCCTCTGCTAACTGATGCTGAGAGTAAAGGCGTGTGCCATCACTGCACAGCTTACAGGAATTTTGTGTATGTTGTATAAAAATACTTCCTCTTCCCTCTGTGTTAAAGATTGAACCCAGGATCTTGGACATGGTAGACAAGCACTCTACCATAGTCCCCAGTTCCCCACTGCATCTTTTTCTATAGGGATTTGAGCATTTATGAATTTTAGATCCAATAGAGGTTCTGTGACCCATTTTCTTTGGACGCTGAGAATTTGCTGTAGTATGTTTGAGTCTTACTTCAAAATACAGGCCATGATTCTGCCATTTCAAAATGGATATTCCTGCTGTATAAGAAATCATAGGGACTGGAGAGAGATGGCTTAGCAGTTAGGAGTACTTATTTGCTCTTCTGGAGGACCTGGGTTTGGTTCCTAGCACTCACATGGCGACTCACAACTGTCTATAATTCCAGTTCCAGGGTATTAGATGCCCACATATAGTGTACATAAACTTAAACAAATACACACTCATATGCATAAAAATAAAAATGAATTAATTTCTCTTAATAGAAAGACATTATGTTGTGAGTTACCTTTAAAATTCTATTTTCTGAAAAGAAGAGAGCCATTGGTACTCTGGGGGCAGGGTGGTTATAAGAGAGAAGAGTGGGAGGGAATTTGAACCCAAGTATAATGATATACATGTTATGAAAACCATTATTTTGTACACTAAAAAGTACATAAATGAAATACGGGAGACACATACACACAAACTACCCTGTAGTACTGCTTCCATATAGCAGTTGCTATAGTAGGCCTCTTTAAATTACTTGTATAAATAAATACTCTGCATATCTTTGTGGAAATACTTCCATTCCATTTTCCCTCTGTGTAGTTTTGATGCCTGTCCCGGATCTTGCTCTGTAGACCAGGCTGGCCTTGAACTCACAGAGATCCTTCTGGCTCTGCCTCCTGGGTGCTGAGATTAAAGGCGTGTGCACCACCACTGCCCGGCTTTTTTTTTTTTTTTTTTTTTTTTTTTTAACCCATAGAAGTTTTATATTATTTAGTCTGGTATGGATTGAACATCCCTATCTAAAAGCTTGGAATCAGAACTGTTTCTGATTTGAGGTTTTCTATTTGGTTATGGTGATGGTGATGTTTCTGGTTGTCTTGATTTGGTTTGTGTAGACTATCAATTAAACCACTATGATATGAAAATATAAGTGCTCTGACACCTTAGGCTAGTGGAAGTTTTTCAGTGCTTGCTTCTAGGTCCTAGACTTTAAGAATAAGAATGCCTACCTTGTATTGTGGGTGTCCCAGCAGTTATCATTGCAGCTTTATTTGAAAGCTATTTAAACCTAAAAACAGAATTTCTGTTGTATTTGGCTTGTGTTGTTCATTCACTTAAAAGAAGAATTGTCTCTCTATACCAGTCCTAAGAAAAGTCGGCAGTTAACTATAAACAAATAAAATTTCATGAGAGTTTTAGAATTCAGTTGACATTAAAAGTTTCTTATCCAGCCAGGCAGTGGTGGTACACACCTTTAATCCCAGCACCCAGGAGGCAAAGGCAGGTTGGAGGCTAGCCTGGTCTACAGAGCAAGTTCTAGGACAGCCAAGGATACACAGAGAAACCCTGTCTAGAAAACCAAAACAAAAGGTTTCTCATCCAAGCCTTCTGAAGTCACCCTGGAGGTTGATAATTGGGCACAAGGGCATGCTGCAGTGCCGAGGAGGAGCACTCACTGTTAGAGGTGAGGCATGCTGGGTGACTTCCACGATAAGACTGAGATAAGGCCAGCAGCCAGCAAGGGTCAAATTCCAGAAAGTGATATTAGTGGTTTTGTGTAACCGGATAAAAAATTGAATCATTTTATTTCATATTTATTGTATAGCATTTTGTATTTCCACTGCTGGCCATACATACAAGGCAAGTGCTCTACTGTTTAACTGTGTTTCCAATCCCAACTGAAGCTATACATTTAGGCTTAAAAGGCAGTATAACTGGGCATGGTGGTGCAGAGGCAGGCTGATTTTCATGAGTTTGAGGGCAGCCTGGTTTATATAGTGAGACTCCGCCGCAAAAAAAGCAAATAATAAATACAATAAAATAAAGTAAAAAACAAGATGTAAGATGATTTCATGTGTCTGACAAAAGGCAGGTTGTCTTGTTTCAAATCCTAACTCCACTGTTTTCTAGCTGTTGTTGGGCAATTTAATATCCCTGGGCTAAAATGGGATGATAATAGAACCTTCTTGTATGATTGTTAGTATTAATAGGGTAAATAAGTGAAAGTACTCAGAATGATTCATAGTCATATTAAGTGTAAGCAGCTGCCTTGTTACTGTTATTAACTTGTTTATTTATCATTTTAGTTTTAGAATATTATTTTGGTTCAGTGAAGCATGGCAAAAGATAATTGTGGCTTATTGTGGTGGTAGCAAAGAAAGTCTCCCCTTATTGCTGGGGACATGTTTCAAGACCTCCAATGGTTGCTTAAAGCATTAGATAGTACCAGACTTGTAACTATTTTGTATTTTCCATACCTTCAATAAAGCGTAACTTACAAAGCAGGCATAGTAAGAGGTTCAAAATAATAGATAATAATAAAATAGCTGTAACAGTATATTGTGATAAGTTATATGGATGTGGGCTGTCTCAAACTGCAGGATTTTCCATTCAGTGCTTTCAGACTACAGCTGAGTCTAGATAATGGACTATAAAATTGCAGCTCAGAAGACTGCTCTACTGTGTAAGGGACACTCAGAGGCAGAGCCCTCAGCATACCATGTGCTGTTGGATGAGTGTGGAAAAGGACCCGGGAGAAGTAGGAAAAGGAATTAGTACCTCACATAATCTTGGCGTGACAGTGGTTTACTATAGAAAGACACTGCTGCTCTCTGCTGAGGCCTGTCACTGCTGTCAGTCTAGTGCTTCCGTGTGTTCTGATTCCCTTGCTTTCCTGTGGTAGATAGACACTGTTCACCGTTCACCCTTCACTGAGTTGTGATCATAGGCATCCTTTTGCTCACAATGAGAAAGCATGTAAGCAAGTAAGAATACAAGTTGGATCACATAGTGAGTGCTCTGTTCAGATGTGCAGATCTCGTGGGATTATTACAAATGCCATCATTTGTTTTCTTGTACTCTGCTGAGAGTGTGGGGCTTTATTCAGGCAGAATTATATCATTCACATGGCACCCAATTCCTAGTTGTTGAAAAGCACTTTTTATGACATCTGAAACAAAATGCTGTATGATTTCAGTTTGCATTGTATTCGATTGCACCCTAAGATTCAAAGACTTGTACCTGAATATCTGCAAGCTGCCTCAGGCTACCACTTGGGTGCAGAGCCTAACTAGACTGAGAGAGAGGCAAAACAGCAGCAACAGGGCACCCTTTCTTCCTACCAGCCAGTGCCCAATAAATGGTAAAAGGAAATTGAGGCTGAATAGTTCAGTCTTCTTGTGCAGCTGAGTTAGAATCCTTCCACTGCCGTGTACTGTTAACACACTTCCTGTCTTTGATACTGTTCTTTGTTCTTGGGAAATGGTACACGAAAATAGGACTTTCCCCTCACCCTCTGGTAGTGTGCTTCAGCTCAACTCCTGACTCCTCCCTCTCTCCCCATCCCCTCCTCCTTTTCCTCCCTCCCCACCCATCCATCCTTGTATTTTTCTTGCTGGCAGTCTGGATCCTACTCATTTACCTAAGAGGGGGATTCCAGACAGACAGGAGACAGCGTTCAAACGCTGCACTGCTGGAAACTCAAGTCAGTGCCCACAGTGCGGTCTGAAAACTCCAGAGATTCTCTCCGGCGATGAATTCTAATGAGTTGCCCAAGATGCTAGAGCATGTGTGAGCACAGCATTTACCTTCCCTTCCCTTCCCCCTTTCTTCCTCTTCCCAAGCCCCTTCTCCCCCTGCTTCCCTCCTGCTCCTCTATCCCTCCCTCTGTGCTGTAGTTCTGCCGCACAGGACCGAAGCACAATCCTGCAGTGCAAGGCTTTCTGTTTGGGATTTATTGTGGCTTTTGTTTGGATTTCAGCATGCAGAATTACAGGTAACACTCTGAAATTGAGCTAAGCATTTAAATTGTATTAAGATGTTTTCAGAAATATGATAGTACATTGGATTTAATGGAGAAATTTAATCTTCGTTAATTTTTATCAATGGTAATTGTAGCCAAATGTTTTCAGGATTGCTATAAGGAGATTCTCTCTCCCACAACAGGTTAAATAAAAGAGAATGAGGGTAGATGGATCTGTAATTGCTTTCTTTTTTATGTTGATCTCAGAAGTATGGTATAGCTACTCCTCTGGAGTAAGCGCCCTTTACGGAGGTGCTGCTGAGGGTAAAGGGGTGGGGGTGGCAGTCAGAGCTAGTAGTTCTTTGACTAGGACATGGAATGCAAAATGTAAAATGCTCTCTCCTTTTCTTCTGTCAGCTCTTCAGAGGAGACTCATTACAACTCCTGCTGAAGCTCCTAGCCTTCCTCCCTCTGCCTCTTCCCCCACCCTCACTTGGCCTGAAGACACTGTCCCCAGTCTGCCTTACTCCCTTGGTGATATGTGCATGGTGAACATGGCAATATGGCCAAGTCTGGGACTGGCCAGACAACTGCTGTTGGCTCTCCCTGTTCCAGGAAGAATCTAAAGGGAAATTGCACCGCAGCAGAGCAGGAACCTGGTGACTAGGGTTCCTGGCATTGTCACACACACCCATGCACAGTTGACTGCAGTGACAATAGCTGCTCCTGGGAACTGGGCAGCATGAAGTGAGAGCCAGTTCCTGAGCTCGAGATGAACTCCACCTTGGATGGTGATCAGAGCAGCCATCCTTTCTGTCTCCTTGCACTGGGCTACTTGGAAACTGTCAGTTTTTGTCTTTTGGAAGCCCTGATTGTTGTCTTTCTAACTGTATTGATTATTTCTGGCAACATCATTGTGATTTTTGTGTTTCACTGTGCACCTCTGTTGAACCATCACACTACAAGTTATTTTATCCAGACAATGGCATATGCTGACCTCTTGGTTGGGGTAACCTGCCTGGTCCCATCCTTGTCACTACTCCACTACCCTCTTCCTATGGAGGAGGCCATGACTTGCCAAGTATTTGGCTTTGTAGTGTCAGTTCTGAAGAGCGTCTCCATGGCTTCTCTGGCCTGTATCAGCATTGATAGATACATTGCCATCACTAAGCCTTTAACCTATAATACGCTGGTTACTCCCTGGAGACTACGCCTTTGTATTTTTCTGATTTGGCTATATTCCACCCTGGTCTTCCTGCCTTCCTTCTTCCACTGGGGCAAACCTGGATATCATGGAGATGTATTTCAGTGGTGTGCAGAGTCCTGGCATACCAATCCCTACTTCACATTGTTCATCGTGATGATGCTGTATGTCCCAGCTGCCCTCATTGTCTGCTTCACATATTTCAACATCTTCCGCATCTGCCAGCAGCACACAAAAGAAATCATCAAAAGGCAAGCCCGATTCAGCAGCCAGAATGGGGAGACTGGGGAAGCCCAGACCTGTCCTGATAAGCGCTATGCCATGGTCCTATTCAGAATCACCAGTGTGTTTTATGTCCTCTGGTTGCCATACATCATCTACTTCCTGCTGGAGAGTTCTACTGGCTGCAGCAGCCGCCTTGCATCTTTCCTGACTACCTGGCTTGCTATTAGTAACAGTTTCTGCAACTGTATCATTTATAGTCTCTCCAACAGTGTTTTCCAACAAGGATTAAAGGGCCTCTCAGGGGTTGTGTGTACTTCTTGTGCAAGTCACATTACAGCCAAGGACCCTTACACAGTTAGGAGCAAAGGACCTCTTAATGGATGTCATATCTGAGGGGGCTCATATATTTCAGTCACTTTGTTTCCAGAGAGAAAGGGTGGCTTTGATTTTTTTCCATTTCCCTTCTATCTAGTTCACTAGGGGATCTAGGACAAGATAATTTGACTCTGAGCAGCTGCAGACTATCCAGATACCTTCTCAGTTCTCAGAAGTTGTTTCCTAAATGAGATTTAAAATTAGAAGAATCAGGATCATGAAAAAAATCACTCTTGATGCAGTTTTTGAAATGTCATGGAAGTGACTACAGTTTCAGATTCAAAAGGAATAAAGCCATAGCTAACACCTCTCCCAGCTGGCGTGACTGAACCTGGGCGTGAAAAGCATCAGCACTTAAAAAAAAAATTACCATTTCTTTTCCCTTTTCTGGATTCTTCCAAGTATCTTGGAATTTATGTGCAGTTGTTATCTTTTAACGGGGATTTTAAAATAGACTGATGAACTAACAAGGATTTTCTTTGTCTGTGCCAAAATATAACTGCACTGCAAGTTTCAGCACTCGTTTAGGTAGTGAGATGTCTGGAGAGAAGTCTCCATGGGATGAATAATGTGAACACTGAACATTACTTTAGAGTTCTGAAATGAACCATGAAGCAGCCATGCAGTGAGGTCATGCAGTTTGTGAGAAACAGCGGCTTCGACGCCATGCTTGTGAGCATTGTGTGCACATGCACAGAAGTGACGTGACAGTGCTTTTCTCCGTGCCTCTGTGTTTGTGAATATTTACACTGAGCTGAGTTTCTTTTATAACTAAATATTTAATCTAAATAAATAATAGATGGATAGCTGTCCATTGTAATATGTAATTGATTTTAGTATTTTCTGTTCTTCTTATCCAGTCTTCCATAAGAACTGAATCAGCTCAGTGTTGAGTATACTGTCTGCCTTTTAAATAGAGTCAGCCAACATCACAGTCACCAATTCATTTTGGAAAACATTCTTTCAGGTCCTATCAAGGAATCCCCTTTGAAGGGGAGAAGGAGAATTCTGGTTGGGTCAAGTCACCTACCTGTGGTCCTCTTTTTGGAAAAAGTCCTTTGTCATATAGTTCTTGCCTCACTTGTCTGTTTTTCCAAAGCACTAGCAAAATGTATAGAATTTTATTGTTTAGAATTACTAGAATGCTTTGTGTTGGTGCATAGTATTACCTTTGTATTAAAAGTGACTGCCTTGAAAGCCAGAGAATTGTTTGTCTAAAGGGAGAGAGAGCTGTTAGCAACTGGGATCAGAGCCTCCTGCACTTTGTGCTAGTTTTCATTTAAATAGAAGATACTGCCCCCCCCACACACACACATTCTTGTATTGCTCCTAGAGCCTTGTGCAAACAAAGCAAGTACTTTTCAAGTACTTTTTCTTATATTCACAGCTGAATTTTTTTGTTCTGTTTTGCTTTTTTTTTTTTTTTTTTTTGGTTTTTCGAGACAGGGTTTCTCTGTGTAGCTTTGCGCCTTTCCTGGAACTTACTTGGTAGCCCAGGCTGGCCTCGAACTCACAGAGATCCACCTGGCTCTGCCTCCCGAGTGCTGGGATTAAAGGCGTGCGCCACCACCACCCAGCTCTGTTTTGCTTTTTAAGCCAGTGTCTCACTGTGTAGCCCTGGCTGTCCTAGAACTCACTATCTAGACCAGGCTGGCCTTGAACTCACAGAGATCCACCTGTTTCTGCTGGAGTTAAAGATTCACCATGGCCAGCCCCTAACCAGCTTTATGTTTTAGACACTGATTTTATTTTAGCCTCAAATTATCTCCTGCTTTAAACTTTTTAAGTGACAGAGAATTATAAAATTCCAAATTCTAAAGGCAGGTGGATCTCTGTGAGTTCAAGGTCAGCCTAATCTACATAGTGAGTTTCAGAACAGCCAGAGATATATAGTGAGATCCTGTCTTAAAAAAACAAAACAGATTGAGTACTTCCCCAAATCTTGCTTGTTCTTTATAGTTAGTATTAGCAAATGTAATTCAGCTGTTTCAGAATTTAGAGCTCACGTTGAAAATGCTAGGTTAGAAATAGCTTTATTGCTGGGTGGTAGTGATGCACGCCTTTAATCTCAGCACTCAGGAGGCAGAGGCAGGCAGATCTCTGAGTTTGAGGCCAGCCTGGTCGACATAGCAAGTTGCAGGACAGCCAGGGGTACTAAGAGAAACCCTGACTTGAAGGAAAAAAACAAAAACAAACTTGGTTGGATTTCTGTTTCAAGCAGAAAATGTTTTCTGCTGCATTCTGAAAATCAGTCTGTAATGTGCTTTTCTCTGCATCACACAGCTGGAAGGTTAGCTCTGTAGATGGGGTTGGGTGTGTTTCTTTCCTTGTGAAGTAGTCTCTTGTAGTTCTCCTCCCTCTGGCTCCCATGTGCTGAAATTTCACATGGGCCACCACACTAGCTTTGTTTTTCATACATGCTAGGAAGTTTAATCTTTTCAAATTTGTATTGTGCTTTTGAATTTTTAGTTCAGCAAGCATGGGAATCTTAAAGATGGGTTTTATTAAAATGTATTAAATCAGTAGTAAGAGCAAGATTTTCCTTTTAGAAGAAGTTAAGCCCTTTTCACTCTTTGGTTCTGGGACTCCATTTTGTAACAGTGGGAAAGAACATTGTTCTGGCAATGCCAACAAAGGAGAACATGGCTTTTTAAATAAGGTCTTTTTTTAACAGTTTGCTTAGTTTTGCAAATATCAAGTTCTGGGGTGGGTGGGTTGGTTGGTTGGTTGGTTGGTTGGTTGGTTGGTTGGTTGGTTTTTCAAGACAGGGTTTCTCTGTATAGTTTTGGTGCCTGTCCTGGATCTCACTCTGTAGACCAGGTTGGCTTTGAACTCACAGAGATCTGCCTCCCTCTGGCTCTGCCTCCCGAGTGCTGGGATTAAAGGCGTGCGCCACCACCTTCCGGCTAAGTCCTGACTTTATTAAAGGCATTTTTTTTTTCAAAGTAGATCTATATTTCTCTTTGAAGTACTGAGTAAAGAAGAATCTAGTAGTTGCAGTAACTGTAAGGAAAACAAGTAGACCCTTCACGATGCGGGAAATAGTGGATGTCTTCCCAGTTCATCTTGTCTGCATTGTGCTGTGTGAACCTGTGAGGCTTAAGTAATCAGTTCTGTTATTTTCAATTCATTGTCTGCACTGCCTGTTTATTTTTAATTTGCTGTGTGGTGGGGGTTAAGACTAGATGAAGGGGCATAGTTACACAGTCTTCAGGGGCTGGGAGAATTCTCTGCATAATAGATTTGAAGCATTTGTGTTGAATCTTTTTATTCTGGCACATTTAATGCAACATTTGATGACATTTTGTTTAAATACCAATCTGTCTAGTTCAAAGTGAGAAAAAAATATGTATTTTTAGACTCAAATACCTCGGATAGCTCATTTAACTCTGTGGTATGTGACTAGTATCAGAATAAATATATACTTTTAGAGATAGTGTTGAAGTTACTTCATAATAAAGTTTAAAGTAAGATCATACTCATTGTTTAACTTGTAAATGAATTATGTGTTAGCAGTTATTTCAGTGAGGAAGTTTTGGTCTTCTTAGAATTGGGGAAATAGTTGCATGTGAGCCAGTGCCACCTTAGAAAGAGCCCTGGACAGCCGACTTCTTCACAGGCCTGCTGCTGCTGCTGCTGCTGCTGCTTCTGAACCCCCTTTTGGACAGATTTCCTTTAGCAGTATTGAGGGATACATTCTTTTTAGCTATTTTACAATGGCTTTTCCTTTGTACTGAAATAGTTTACTTAGTATTTTTAGGATTGGAGAAACTTTATCTTTCATACTGTGAATGAGCTGTCCATCTCCTTGAATGTGAAATGGCAGGTTTACCAGCCCAGACGGTAGAATGATTTGGGGAGGATTTTCTCAGCTTTTCAAAGGTTCCTTTGAAAAAAATGTGCACAATGACTTTGTAGGAAATTCTTAATTTCATTGACCATGTGCTTCTGTATTAAAAAGATTTGTGAAATAAGTTATTGGCAAACCAGAGTTTATTGGTAGATGAGCAGTTTGGGAGACATTTAAAGATGGGGGAATTGTGGCATTGTTATGTTATGGTTTTACATAATTTCTCTGTTTCAAGTTGAAGAAAAAACAAATGTAAATATATTAAACTGTACATGTTGATACTACTTGTAGACTCTAGAAGTGAGGTAGTTATTTTTCTTTTGGGGGGTGGGGTTCGAGACAGCATTTCTCTGTGTAGCCCTGACTGTCTTTATATACCAGGCTGGCCTCAAATTCAGAAGTCTACCTGCCTCTGCCTTCCAAGTACTGGTATCAAAAATGTGCATCACCACCACCGCCTGGCTGAGGTAGCTATTTCTTATGAATATAAATGGGTCACTGGGAATTCTTTCAAATTTGGTGATAAATGGACATCTGACACAGTAACAGTAAACTTTGAAATGAGAGTGTGGAGACCTGGTGAGCTGGTTAGTAAAGCAGGGAGGGTAAAGGTGCTAGATAGAAGTCCTTTCATACCTTCGTAGGACTGAATCAGATAACCTGAAGTAAAAGTGATGCCTCTTGTTCATGTCTGCCATAGCTTCATATATAAGCTATATGTTTTGGTGTGCTTCCAAACCTTCACTCAGTCAATCATGGAGGCTCACTGCGAGAGCAGTACTCTGTGCTATTTAGCAATCCCAGACCTGAAGACCACATGAGCACTTGTTTGCTTCATCTTATTCCTGAGAACTTAGTGAAGACAAGGGGCAGCACCCCTGATAGCTGCACCCCAGATCTAACACAGAACCTGCTCCAGAACAGAAGGCTTAGTAAAAAACAGGATGAATGAATGACTTTTATTAGTCACCTGCCTTAGTCCCTTCTGTCCTAACATTCTATATGATCTGGGCTACTCTAGACTCTTTAAGAATGATACTACTATTTCCTCTTTTCTTTCTCCTTCCTTCCTTCCTTCCTTCCTTCCTTCCTTCCTTCCTTCCTTCCTTCCTTCCTTCCTTCCTTCCTTCCATGAAAAGACTAGTGTGGGAATATGTTCTCAGTAACTGCTCCCGAGGCTACCTTGTGCCTGGCAATGTTGCCAAACTGCAGTTTCTCACAGCATAGATGAAATAAATGCACATAGTCAGAACACACCTTGGCTCTAGAGCCAAATGAAAGAAGCTGTAAAAATCAGCTATGGGAGAGACTGGAGATGTTGGAACCTCTGTCTGGCTATATGGTTTTACTCTATAACTCCTTGTCAGTTTTCTAGTTCTGTCTTCTTTTTCCTGACACTGGTGGTTGTATATCTAGAAGGGGGCATTTCCAGTGAAGTGTCATCTCTGTCTTATAGAACATTTCTAGTCTTGAGACATTTCACATGGAAAATTCTGTAATTAGGTTTTCCAAGGAGCCTCAAAGAGTGAACTTCACCCACAAGGAATTTACCAAGGCATCCTTATGAGACACACAGCCTGTCTTTTATTTAGGTAAGTTCACATAAGGGTAGTTCATTATTACAATAGGAAGTAATTGTAGTCTTTTCCTGGGAGCGCATCATGACCTACACCATGTACAGATGGTTGCTTGATGGGAATTGAAGCTCATAATGCCTTTCTGTGATGTGAGGGGTCACCTCTGCAGCCAGTGCTGACCTGCCTGTGCGGCTTCAAACCCCATGTTGGTTGCATCTAGCTCTCTTGTCATTTGTCTTTTCGTCAGATCCTTGGAAGTCTTAACAGCCTTGGAAACGGGTTTTCTAAGGTGATTTTAGGTCACTGATTTACACGTTGTTGTATTACAGCTTTCTGTTTTGTGACACCCCAAAGAGCAGCGAGTTTCATTCAGCTTGTTTGTGGTTCATCTTGTCCTAGTCTTCACACACTGCCTACATGGAAAGCAAGGTATACGGAACCTCTTAGGGAATTTACAGTATCCTTTGGCCACTAGTGTTACCATGTGCAACAAAGAAAAAAGGAGGCAGTAATGTAGGAAAGAACCTTGGAAATATTTGTCCTTATTTTGACATTTTACATGGGGCCCAAGCCAACTTCTCCATGTATTGATAAGAACTCAGACAGCTGCTCCTAGTTTGCGGCCCTCTTCTAGTACACTTGCTTTTGCAAAGAGTTGGAATCTAGCTTGACTGGGCCAGCACCTGAACATGCGCAGGTGCATGTGTGCTTAAATCTAGGCATAAGGAGTAGAAGCAACAATGTACATGTAAACCTGAGGTTATTTGGTTTTAGGAGAATTTCATGAGCACCTTATTCAATCTGTCCAACACTATGAGGTTGTATAAGCGAGTGTTTGTTTTGGTTTTTGATTTTTTTGAGACAGGGTTTCTCTGTGTAGCCCTGGCTGTCCTGGAACTCACTTTGTAGACCAGGCTGGCCTCAAAATCAGAGATCCACCTGCCTCTGCCTCCCGAGTGCTAGGATTAAAGTTGTGCATCACCAGCGCCCGGCTTTTCACAAGAGCGCCTCATCAATCCACCATTGGCAATTTAAATACTCGCAGCTTCTAAGTGCAAGATCTCAGTTATACCCCAGGCCCTTCTGATAGCAGTGCCCTCATTTACTTCTCAGAGGAACCTATCAGGTATTTGTTTTTAATTTCCTTCTTTTATTGGTCAGGAATGTTTACTCTTAGACAAGAACTTAAAAGTCACACACAGGGTAAGTGAGAGAACTTTACTCACTGGGCCATCTTGCTTGCCTTCAGTATGCTTTTTGAGAATGGGTTGTCCTATATTGCCCAGACTACCCTTGAAACCCTGCCTCAGTCATCTGAGTCACGGGGGCTGTAAGTGAGAAGCAGTTCCTGACTGCTTCTCTTTTTCTATTACAACAGTCAGAGAAAGCTGCTTAGAAAGTAACCAGAGCCCAGAACAAACAGAGATCAAAGGAAACAGAAGGGTGTGGGTTTCCAAAGGAAAAAAGGAACATTTTAGAGCTTGTAATTTAATGGATTAGGTTGTATAAAAAACCATAACTTGAGGACTGTAGGACTTGACCTCAGATTTGTTATTATGTACTGTATGTTAATTGTGTATTTGTGTGCATTTGTGGGGTGGTGGTGGGTACAGTGGTCAAAGAACAGCCTGGAGGAGTGAGTTCTCCTCTCTTACTATGTGAGCCCCAAGAATTGAACTGGCATCAAACTTGGCAGCAACTTTCTCATAGAACCCAAGTTTTTTTTGGTTATTTTGTTGTTGGTGATGGTTGGTTGGTTGGTTGGTTGGTTTTGAAATGGGGTCTCACCTAATAACTCTTTTTTAACTGCTTAGCTTACCTGAAACTCACTACATAGACCATGCTAGCCTAGAACTCACAGAGATCCACCTGCCTCTGACTCCTGAGCACTGGAGTTTAAAGGTCTACAACACCATAATACCTGGCCCAGGATTTTGTTCTTAACGTGATGCTCTATAAAATATTTACATCCAACAATAGCAATCATGCTAAGCTGTTAACCTTACTAGGAGAGTATTTATTTGATATACAGTTTACTTGGTGGTAGAAATGAAATTGAAAGAAGTGTTTAGAAGTCTTTATAGTTACCAAAAACATTTGTTTAGAATGTGACTCAGCACATAGTGTTGTGCCTTCTAATTTAACTCAAAACTTGCCACCCTTTCCATCACCCACTGCTTTACTCGGAATGATTCTCTGCCTATTCATTTTTGTCAGTATAGTTTTTAATGTCTGGTCATTGGGCTCTCCAGAAGTATTGCTATGCAGGAGAATCAATAATAGCCAAGCAGGAAAAGGTTGACCATGCTGTTTGCGTTTGTGCCTTATCTATACATGATTTGGGGCAGTTTTACCAAACATTGGCCACTTTTCCTGTGGGAAACTTGATCCCTAAAAGGAAATGGACATAGCTAAAGGGCTACATGTCACATGGGACTTAGATTTATTTTTAGAATGGCATTATAATGCCATATTTGGTTTGAAACAATGTAACAGCGGTCCATTATTTTATTAAGTACAGAGTCATCTTTTCTGAAGTTGGCCACTTTCCTCTTACATTATCTACCACAGATAGAACCATAGTGTCAGTGTGGTGCTTACGTATTCATGCAGTTGATCCATCCATAAAGATCAGAAGTGCTTGTTGGTAGATATTTCTATAACAGGCTTGCTGAGTTTAGTTTCTATAGTTAAGACGCTGGTCAGAGTACATGGTTGTTTTTTTGTTTTCATTTTTGGGGAGGGTTGTTTGCTTTATTGGATGTTGGGGACATGAGTGAAGAGACATTTGAAGTTACTCTAATTGTTTGTCCTGAAATGGGTCTCTGCCCCAAGGACTGGTTTAAAACAAAATAAATCTAGCCGGCACAAGTATTTTTTTCTTGAGCTCTACAGTGTTTGGGTCAGTATGATTCATAGGCTAAAAGAAAAAAAAATTGTATTCTATCATTTATATTTTAAGTGTCAGTTTTTCTGTCTTATTTATCTTCTTTGTAAATTCATTTGATTACAATGAAGTATGATATTGATGACATACAATAGGTTGTTTTGAATTGCTTACTGTTTGGTCACAGATCTGCTCCTCCCCAGACCAGGCACTAAGTCCCAAACAGGAAACCTTGCCAAATACATATTTTTCTGTCTTGGCTTCTCCCTCAAGATTGGAAGTAGGCGAGCAACATCAATTTCATATCTAGTGGGAAGGGTTACTACTGATGTACCAGGCCTATGTCTCCCACTTTCTTCCACACAGTGTGTCTTTCCTTTTTATAAACCCAGGGAGGCAAATAGATTAAGTTTTATAAACAGATACGTTTTATAAGTAAGGACCTCAAAGTTTAGCTTAGGTAAGTAGCCTGCCCAAGGTTACGAAAGTTAAGAAAAGAGAGGCAGTGCACAGACAGAACTGCCCAAGACAGGGTTTAAGTCCTGCCCATTGTGCATTCTATCTCCTCCGCACTTTGTCAAAAGCCCAAATCCAGAGGCCACACAATTGTGACCAGGTTCTGAAGTACCTCAGTCACCCCTGTGTTCTAGGATAATGGAAATGGATTTCCAGGCTGCTCTGTGTTTTCTGTGATGGAGCTTTGGAAGGGAAACTTTGAAACATTAACTACTGAGTGTCTGTATAGTATTTTATGTTTTTAAATCTGTATAGCTCAATTTCCTGTCTCTCTTTGGTTCAGCTTTTAAATTCTGCTGTTAACTTTAAATTGTTGACAAAGTTATTGTCATCATGGGTACCTCCAACACCTCTCTGGGAGCAGTTCTCCAAAATATGTGTGAAAAGCAATCTCTATCGACAAATTGATTTCTACTATCCATCAAGTTTGATTTCTACCAAAATCCCCTCTATTTGTTGGTGTGGAAGAATAACACTGTAGGACAGAAATCCCATGGTTCCTAGTTGAAACGCAAATCATGACTTGAAGGACAGTGATGCCAGCCATGAAGGAACCAGTAAGTGTTCATTGGCATGGCTACATAAGATGTATGTTGAATATTGAACGCTCAAGGCATCGATAGAGGTGTTTGTTTTGTTTTTTAGTTTTTTATTGTTAGTAAATGAGCCCATTAGTTGCATTTATTTCTAGGATTCATGTTTTGATGACAAAAAGATAATGGACACTGGGTCACTTTCCATGGAGTGGAAATGCTTATAATTCTTAGAAGACAGTTTTTTACAAAGACAGTAATGTGGTAGCTAGTATCCTCAACACCATGAAATGTAAAGGCCCTCCCTATAACAGGTGCTATGTTTTGCCCTTTCCCTCCTTACCTTCCTTTCTTCCCTTCCTCCCTTCCCTCCCTCCCTTCATCCCTCTCAACAGTCTCAAAGCATACTGGAGGTATAACTTAGTGAGATGGTTCTGTGAGGACTAGGATAATTATGGCCTAAATACATTTCAGTAATTATGATTACTGAAACTAAAGATGTATATTTAAGCCAAGCAGTGGTAGCACACACCTTTAATCCCAGCACTGGGAGGCAGAGGCATGCGGATCTCTGAGTTTGAGGTCAGCCTGGTCTACAGAGTGAGTTCCAGGACAGCCAGGCTACACAGAGAAACCCTGTCTCAAAAAACAAAAACAATCAATCAAAAGCTGTAGCTGATTTTTTAAAAGGAGCTGCAGACTGAAGGGATAGCTTAGCAGGTACCAGCATTTGATACACATGCCTGATGATCTGAGTTAGATCCTCAAAGTCTGCTTTTAGAGCTGAGGCAATCGTCTATAATCTTCGAGCTCCTGTGGTGATGTGGGTCATAGAGACAGGAGAGTCAACACAGCTCTCAGAGCAGCTAGGTTGGAGTTCACAGTGGTGGCAGAAATAGGGGACTCTGACTCAACAATGTAGAAAGCAAGAACTGACTCTCGGAAGTTGTCTTCTGAGTTCCACATTCATGCCGTGCCACATCTTATCTATACAAGTACACACACACAACAAGGATACACAACCAGTAAAATATGCTTTATTCATGAAAATACATTTTAAAGACAGGACATGGGCAAGGTATGCTAGCACACCCAGGAGGCTGAGGCCAGCCTGAACTATATAGTAAGACCCTGTCTAATGAGTAAATAATGTATTCGAGAGGGGTGCTTTTCTGTTTCATTAAGTGTTACATACACTTTTACAGCATTTATAACGTTTGGAGTTATTCCTGAGAACTTTTTATTTGGGCAACAAACCACTTGGGAAATATAATCTTCTCTGCTCCTTATTTCACATGGCAGCCTTCCATGACATTTCTTTTGTTTGGGTATTTTCTTTTTCTTCCTGCCATTCTTAGCTTTCTATTTTCCAACTTGAGTTTACAAAGAGTATGTATTCAAAGGACTTCCTTCAGTTCCCAGTACCTTATTAATCCTGAGAAGTTACTTAGTCATCCAATTCTCATAGTAAGCTATAAAAATAGACATCCAGAAAGATTAGAGTGTGGGACGACTATGATTTGAACTAATACACAATTTTGACCTGAGGACAAGAAAATACCATGTGTTATAATTTCCCTAAATTTTAATCCACATAGGGTTTTTAAGGAGCTTTAAAATGTAAGGAGCTTAGATCCCACCCCCATATCAAGCCTGGTGGGAGCTAAGGGAGAAGTCACTAGAAATGAATCACACCTGGCTTCTAGATCTTGGTTACTAGTGACATCCTTAATGAAAGGAACAAGAACTATGTGGTGGTTTTAAGGGATACTGGTCAAGCATTTTGTATAATGTCCTTCAAGAAGTTGTCTGGTGTTTTTCTTGTAAAGCTATGAATTTGAAGCGGGAAGATATAAGGTAAAGGCCATTCTTATAACATGAAAAGTGCCTACTAGCAGAATGATTTACCACTGTTAGTACTGATCTTGCTTGTCTACCCCCACCTCCCATTCTACTCTCACTTCCTTGATGACATAGTATGTACATAAGTTATTTGAAATTCTACCTGGGCGACTTATCTCTTTACCCCATTTATTTATTAAATCCATCATTTATTTTTGTATGTACAGACTCATGGATATTTCTCTCATACTCAAGGCTATAACTCAGTGTTACTGTATATGTTAGTTGCTTAAATTATTTGGCTTAAGTCACTAGGAATGTTTTTCATTGGCTGTCAATATCCCTCTGACATACTTCCATCAGTACAGACATTCTGTTGTTGGTAGTGTTACTGGTATCGGTTGGCTTGGTTTGTGGTAGCAATAAAATTAAGAAGCGTTTATGGAATTTTTTTTTGTCTGTTTCTTTTTTTAAATTTTCTGGCAATAAAAATATTCCAGGGTTGTCTCCTGTGTTTTTCGCCTCAATCTTAGAGTCACTCCTTTCTCCAAGTAGCTCTTACTCCTTTCCTTAGCAAATGGTATTAAACTTGTAGATGCAGGGTGTGCTGTGTGATTTACCAAAGTAATTGTATGATGTGTAGGCTTGTCATTATTTGTAAGAGGTCCAGTTGTTGCATTACCTCACCAATGCTTGGTGCTTTCATTTTAGCCAGCCTAATGTGTCAGTGTGTGTGCATGAAATTTCTGAGCTACTTATATTGTCTTATTTTGTTGCTTAAAATATAAGAGACAAATATAACTATTTACAATGTTTCATTTAAACTGTTACTGCATTTGAATATACAGAAACATATAGATTTCTTGAGAATTGACTTTTGTAAATTGCAGCAAATACTGTTAACATTCATTACTATGTGAAAGATACATATTCAAAAGGAAGTTCAAGTTATAGCAGACTCTGACAGTGTTTGGGGCACTGAGCATGTATAAACTTACTTGGCAGCAGCAAGTAGGTGTATTTAAAATCAGTACCCAAATCTTCTCTCTGGTTACATTGTCAAGGACAAGGATTTGTTTTTAGAATTTTGTGAGATTTTTAATATTATTCTGACAAGAACTTATTAAACTCATCATTATTAGAATTCAGGAGAGGGACATATGGTTTGGCCTATGACAAATCAAATGAATTCATTCCAAGTTTCTCAGCATATTTTGTAAGATCAAATATTTTAAGGCAGTGGTTCCCATAGGACTCCAGTTTGTTACCGTTGTGCAGGCTTCAGAAATTCATCCTGTGATTTTTCATTGTCTGGTCCCATGGTCAGTGGGAAGGGCAGTGGATACATGAAAACTGCTGGGGATGTTAGAGCCAGCAGGGCATTGGTATGCCTCATGGGTGACTGCTGGCATTAGTGACACCTATTTACCTTTTTGTTGATTCAAAGACCACTCTTCTCTTCTGGCAGAGGAAAAGAAGAGTTTCTCGTTAGGTATTTGAACCCCGTGCCATTTGGCAGTCTCACTCTGCATTCTTGTGCCATTTGCCCCTAGGAAACTCTGGTTAGGGGCCTTGGGCCATGACTAAAGAGATGGCTCAGAGGTTAAGAGCACTGACTGCTCTTCTAGAAGACCTGGGTTCCATTCCCAGCACTCACATGGCAGCTCAGAATAGTCTGTACCCAGCTCCACCACACATGAAAGGAATGTACATACAAAGCCTTGGACCTTTCCCATTTGGGAATGGGCATGAGCTTCATGCCAGAGCATAGATGAAGCATTGCTTTTTCTACCAGTTTCTATATCAGAAGCACTTTCACTCCTCTCTTGAAGTAAACTTGAATGTTTTTCTGAGGGAAACCAATTTTTAGCAGCTTATTTTCCTTTGTACAATAGAAAGTTCACTAGCCTCACTTCCTGCCGTGCACAGGGAAGAGAGCATGAGTGTGAGGAATGAAATGGCACTTTCCTTCTGTCTGGCCCACCCTCATTACACATTACACTTACAGAGGATTAGTCCCTGAAGAGGCAGTAAGTGGAGGCATGAATATGTGTTTGACCTTACAGCACTTAAAGTACGTAAATAATGGGACCCTTTTGTATAAATCCAAATAGATAGCTATCTTCTTAATGGCCCTGGTCTTCTCTTCCTGTTTCCACAGGAGTCTCCCCAAGACAGTGCTATCACAAGGGATATTAACCGCACATTTCCAGCTCATGACTACTTCAAGGACACAGGAGGAGATGGACAAGATTCCTTATATAAAATATGCAAGGTATTTCATATTAAAATATAAAAGTATTGGTTTTGAATAACAGTTCTGGTTCTTTGAAATTATGTAAAAGACAAACTACAAATGTAATTTGGGCTTGTTTAGGGCTTTTGTTTTTAGTTGTTTTTTTTTTTTTTTTTGAAACAGGATCTTGTGTTGTCTAGGCTATATTCAGTCTCACTATACCAGGGGCTAGCCTTAAATTCCTGTTCCTCTTGCCTCCAGTTCCCAAATCATAGATTTAGAGATGCATTCCACCATGCTGTCTACAAAGTGTAATTTGTATTTGATTTTCAGAATTGGAAAAGAAAGATAAAGACAACAAAAATGAGTATCTGAAATCCATAGATAACACAATTTTAGAGTCATTAAAAATCAGGAAATAATGAGTCCAGAGAAATGACTCTGTTAACAGCACACACTGCTCTTCCAGAGGACTGGAGTTCAGTTCCTAGAACCTACACCTAGTGGCTCATCACTTCATAAACTCTAGCTACATGGGGTCCAGTGCCTCTGGCTCTGCATGTAGGTCATGTAGGTCATGTAGGTCATGCTGTTATGCTAGAAGTCACTCTCAGCCCCATGTAGCTAGAGTTTATGAAGTGATGAGCCAGCGGGTCACAAAAAACAAAGAGAGACAAATATGGGAAAAGGACTTGTCAGGAGGAGAGTAGTGACAGGTACAGGAGAAAGGTAAGGGTTGGGAAGAAAGCAGCAGGTATTATATACATGTGTGAAATTGTCCAAGGACAAATCTGATAAGGACTGTTTGAAAACCAGAAAGAGAAAAAGAATAACTGAAGCCAGTGTAGCTAAATGTGACATTTACCAAGACAAAGTTCTCAGTGTTCAACGAACAGAGGAAAAACAGTGTCATCCTGACCCTTCATAATACATGTTTAGATTTTTCAAATTTGGTTTGTAAGGCTCCTGGGAGCCGTGGAATGCTTATACACATTCTGGGTGCTGGAGTTGGCTCTGTGGATATGGCTCAACAATAGGATGGGCCAGTGCCCATTCAGGTGGATTTTTAGCACTGTTGCTTAATAAATAAGTGATGGTAAATATTCATTTCCAAGATCTGTAAAGAACAGCCTATTCAGTTGTAACCTTTTTTTGTTTTGTTTTGTATTTTCAAAGCAGGGTTTCTCTGTGTAGCTCTGGCTGTCCTGGAACTCACTCTGTAGATCAGGCTGGCCTTGGAACTCACAGAGATCCGCCTGCCTCTGCCTCCCGAGTGCTGGGATTAAAGGCGTGCACCACCATGCCTGGCTGGTTGTAATCATTTTAAAACAAATTTGTTCTAATGCACATCAGAGCTACAGTGCTAAAAGGTTGGGACCAGACCTTTTCAGTCTTGTCCTGATTTCAGAGCCCGTCTTTGATCTTTTCCTTCTCATAATTAAGTAGTTTTTTGTAGTGTGTTCAGGCAAGGCACAAGACGTGGTCTTAAGGAACTTCCACTTAAGATTGAAAAGAAAAAACCATCAGCTGGCTTTAGGACAGGCTAGCAATTAAAGGCTTTCCAGTGACATACTAAGTGATTTTCACTATTGAGGACAGTTAGACTTTAAAGAAGTTGTTCTTTAATTTCTCTGTAATGCTCAATGCTGTGACTCTATTGTAATCTTCTTAGGTCTGTTAGCCACTTGTATCTTGTATCTCAGTTGTATCTTCCATACAGTTCCTCTCGCCATTCCCCACCATGTTGCAGAATTCCCAGAAATTATGCCCGTGTCCAATGCCTCTGCCTCACTTCTGTATCCAGTTCCCATGTCTCAGTCTCCCAGCAGCTCTCTGCCTTTGACTCTCCCTTCCTGGCTAGCCTCCTACCTTCTAGCCTTACCAGTAACTTTGTTTTTTCTCTCTCTGCCCATCCATCCACCCACAGAGACCTTCCCGTGGTACTCAGATGGAATTCTCCAGCTCTACATGGCCCCCTTGAAGTCCCCCTCACTCTCAGAGCAGAAGTTCTCAATTACTAGACAGATGTGCCAATTCTGTGTTAGCTTGTTAAATCCTAGGTGCCAGTTAGTCTCTGTCAGAATCATAGAACCAAGTTGGTCTTTCTAGTTCACTTAAAAACATGTTTATTGTAAAAGCTTTCAAACACACAGAAATTGATTATTGTGGTGAATTTCTGTGTATTCCCTTCACATCAGCTTCCTTCCATGTTGCTTCATCTGCCCAGTAGTACTTCAAAATATATTGCTGCCTGTAAGGGAACCAGCCCTGAGCTGCCTTGGAATCCATGGTGTCAGCGAGGGTAGGACTTTTCTATCTGAAGGGTTTTAGGGAAAGAAAGCATTTACACTCTCTTGATGGCTTCTTTTCTGTATTCTCTCACGTTGCACTACTTCACTGCTCTCTTGTTCCCTTTCCCTGCACAGCTTCAATACTCTAACAGCATCTCTCAGGCAATACAAAAGTCATAAAAAGTACATTCCATTTCTCTCAGTATCCAAGAACACCTGCAGCCCTCACAGGGGCTACAGGTTCAAATTATCTTCTGTAGCCTTGACTAGTCTGTGGTGGTATTTTACTTGTACTGAAATGTGATTTTAATTGTATGTTAATAAATAAAGTTGTCTGGGGGTCAGAGCTATTAGAGTCATAGCAAGTGCATGGCATCGGTGGCGCACGCCTTTAAGGACCTGGAGGGCGGTACATTCAGGCAGTGACGAGGCAGTCACATGTTTGGGTTTACAACCAATGACAAGGCAGAACAGGAAGACTTTAAGGACAGACACACAGGAAGTAGGTCCCTTTCGGAGAGCTCTCTTGGCTGGAGAGGATCCCTGAATCAGGAAGGGTGAGGCTCTTAGCTCTGACCTCTTGGCTGTCTTCTCTGAATTGGCTCTGTGTTTCTTATTTTATAAGACCTTTGGTTACATCTACACTAGTCAGACTTTATTTTTACAAATTGGGGTCAGGAATGAGTGCAAGGAATTAATCATTTGCCAGCTAGCAATAATTAGGCTGCCTTTGTATTTACAACCTAGTCAGACAGGACAGCTGTGTGTCCTTGTGAACAAGATAGGGAATGTAAACCATAAGCAAGGCATCTGGTCTAATCTAAAGCTCTTTTGAAGGTTTATATCAGCTTGCGGTGCTCATCCATAAAATTAAAGGCATTTGAGCCATTCTGGCTCCTAGTTTATCTTAATTTGAGCAG